AGGGATCCTCCGGTGTCTGGAGAGCGTCCGGCCCCGATCCAGAACCAGCTCGCCGTCAAGCCCGCCGGCTGTTCCCGAGTCAATCCCGCCGGCCGTTCCCGAGTCAAGCCCGCCGGCGGTTCCAGAGTCAAGTCCGCCAGCCTTTCCCGAGTCAAGTCTGCCGGCCGTTCCCGAGTCAGGCCCGCCTGACTCTCTCAAGCGTGCCTCTCAGTGCTTATGGACATGGCGCTACCCCCAGAGTTCTGGCTCCTATCCTCACCCCAGAATCCGCTCTAGAAAGCTCTCCTTCGTCTCTGCTGGTCCCGTCCAGCTCTCCATCGTCTCCTGAGCCCCCTGTGCTAGCCAGCTCCGCTCCTCCAGAGCGCCCTCCAGTGCCTGCTCCTCCAGAGCACCCCCCAGAATTCCTAATTTTCCCCAAGAAAATTTTTTTTTGGGGGGTGGGGTGAATATGCCCCTGGCCATAGGGGCAAAGTCTGGGATCCAGGCCAAGGCCACGAAGGCCCATACGCCGTGATTTCCTGAACTGTCTGCCCCGCCATGGCTTCCTAGTCTGCCTGCTCCGCCATGGCCTCCTGAGTCCCCTGATCCGCCATGGCCTCCTGAGTCCCCTGATCCCCCATGGCCTCCTGAGTCCTCTGATCTGCCATGGCCTCCTGAGTCCCCTGATCCGCCATGGCCCCCTGAGCTACCAGCTCTGCCATGGCACCCTGAACTGCCTGCTCCGCCATGGCCCCCTGAGTTACCAGCTCCGCCATTTCAACCTGACCTGCCTGCTCCGCCATGGCTCCCGGAGCTCCCTGATCCGCCCTGGAGGCCCTCCTTGTCTCCACCTTGTTCCTGCCCTGCACCAGCCTTCAGGGTGCCCACCCCCCTCCCCGGTGTAACTGTTACGGCGCGGGACGCGCCTTCCGGGAGGGGGGAGTAATGTCACGTGTATGTTCCTGTTTGTCCTTATTTGGTTTGAGTCCTGTTTCCTGTTCTCGTTATTAGTTAATCATCATTTATTCTGTTCACCTGTTATGTTTCATTATCCCCTTTTGTCTCCACTCCATTTAAGCCCTGTGTTCTCCTGAGTTTCTTTGTCTCGGATTAATGTTATTTTGAATGGTCCAAGTGTGTTGATGTTTATTAAAGTATCTTTACGTTTACTCCTTCTCCGTGCGTTTTTGGCTACAACCACAAACCATGACAGTAACACAATAATCAAGATATTTTCTTCCATATAGTGACGTACATCTAAGTAAAACAAATTATTAAAAAAGCTTTTCAACACAAGTATGTCGTTTTACAGGAATATGGAAAAGGGTGAATTTTAATTTTTATGCAGAAAATATACACTGTTAAAAAATCTGTAAAAATAGGGCACAATGCACTGTATTAATATGAGGGTATTGTCTGTATGTATGTATTTATTTATTTTACAGTGTACAAAAAACAACAACAAAATAATACAAAAAAGTAAAACAGTGAAAACATTCAATAAATATGAATAAACAAATACATATAAATAAATACATATTATGAAATATGCAAAAGTAAGAAAGTGTGAAATTTTCCAAATTAACCATTTCTAGCAGCAATGGTCTGAAAAGAGTGTAGTCATTATTAATAATAATATAACAGTTGTTTTAAGAAAGAAAACAATAACAAAAATACTAATAAGTTAAGTTACTGTAGTTATTTATTATCATTTTTAAACAATGTAAAAAGGCTTTTGCAATTTAAAAAAAAAACCTTGAGACTGTTATGACTTGGTTGTAATCATACAAAACTATTGGCGATAGTGTAAAAGTATAGTGTTGATAACTTGATGATGATAGTGTAAAAGTTATAATAGTGTAGCAAGTTTCTTTTAACTGAATAAAAATATGACATAAAATACATTGGGGGGGAAAGGCAAACATATAATGGAGGCTTTATCTTCTGAATTTCTGAAGTCCACCACACGTATACAGCATCATACAAGCACAGAAACAGTTGCTTCCTTTTATTAAGGTCCCTTTAGCACACACATGAGGGATCTATTTGTTCTCTGTTTATGCATGGTACAAATGTAAGTACCAATGGCAAGAAACAGTCTCTTTTTCATGGCAATGAAGCCTGGCCCTCATTCCTACTCGGACTCTTAGTTCTACACTTGGGACTTCCCTCCCCTTATGCAATATATTTCCATAGTTTAGGAGGAGGGAGGGCATTGTTCATTGTCCTCCACAGAAGAGCACTCAGTTCCAGTGTGGAGATCACAAGCCTGTGTTGTATGCATTTAACCTGTCTTTGATTGCTTGTGCCAAACTATGATTTGTTTTGTTTACTCAGAAGAGTCCTCACTAATTAGGTTTCTGTAAGCAGTGTTTTATAAAGAGATTTGCCCCAGCAGGCACAGATAAACACCAAAAACAGTTGATGGAACAGTTGGCACTGGCACAGTAGCTGTGGGTAGAGTGTTTGCTCTAAATCACATACAGTAGTCACAAAATCTATTTGGATACTGAAACCATACTTAAAAATGCATAAATGTCATTGCATTATATAACAAAATATCAAACCAAATAGCATTTATTTATTTTAATGAAAGGTTTTTCACAAAAAACAAGTTTATGTTTTAAATTGTTTAATAAATTAATAAATGTACTAATAAAGATACATACAGTAGGTAAAACTTTAGTATAGGGACCAATTCTCACTATTAACTAGCTGCTTATTAGCATGACTATTGTTAACGTATTGGCTGTTTATTAGTACTTATAAAGCACATATTCTGCATGACCATATTCTACATCCCTAATCCTACCCAAAACCTGAACTTAACAACGACCTTACTAGCTATTAATAAGCAGCAAATTAGGAGTTTATTGAGGCAAAAGTCATAGCTAATGGTTTGTTGATAGCGAGAATTGGACCTTAAAATAAAGTGTGACTGAACACCAAAAACAAAATACACTGGATCATGTTGTTCATAGTAAATGTGATGAACTACTCCTGTGGTCACATCTGTGTGAACTTCTAGAGAACTGACTTCATAGACCCACATATAGTTCTGTGAAAAGCTCTGGCATTATTTGTTTGCAGAATATTTACTGATATTTTGTTTCTAATGTAATTGAATGCATGCATTTTTATGTCCAAAAATGTCTACATACTTTTTGGCGACACTGTAAATATATCTTTTTGGAGACACTGTAAATATATCTTTATCTATATCTATATCTATATCTATATCTATGTCTATATCTATATCATTCATATCTATATCTATCTATATATACTGTATTACCATTACAAAATTTGGGCTTGGTAAGATTTTAATTTTAGAAACAAGTCACTTATTTTTACCAAGACTTTTATTTGATCAACATACCGTAAAAATGGTAATACTGTGAAATGTTATTACAATTTAAAATAACTGTATTATGTTTTAAAATGTAATTTATTCCTTTGATGGCAAAGCTGAATTTTCAGCATCATTACTACAGTCTTCAGTGTCACATGATCCTTCAGACATCCTGATATGCTGCTTTGGTACTCAAGAAATATTTCTTATTATTATCAATGATGAAAACAGTTGATGCGTAATATTTTTGTGGAAAACGTGATACATTTTGTCAGGATTCTTTAATGAATAGACCGTTTTAAAAAAGCATTTATTTGACAGTTAAGATTTACCATTGTTACTTTTGATCAATTTAATGCATCCTTGCAAATATATATATATTCTGCAATAAAAAAAATAGTATTCTATATGTACAATGTACTTGTGTGGGAGTGTTACTCAGTGAGAGCTGAACCTTGCCATAGAATTTCCATTCCTCCTCTTGAATTCTAGTCAATAGAAGTTTCCTCTCTGTTATTGTAATCCCAAAGGTTACTGCCAATTACCCAGCCAAGACACATAACACCACATGATTTTTCACTCACTGTGAAGGTGCCAATGATGTCTTCATTACATTTACAGTCCCTACAATTCTTCGTAGAAGGAAAGGTTCTTAAAGTGGTACCTCAGCACATTGAGGAATGAGTGCCATGAATGTTCCTGTTGTGTTGGATCTTGAAGAGCTGCATAGGTCGATTGTGAATTGTTTTTGTTCATTGGTTCTTGTTCTTCTTAAAGTAATAGTTCACCCAAGAATGAAAGGAGTGATTCCAAACCTGAATATACTGTACTTTTATTAAATGGAAAAGAGCAGCTTGGACATTCTGTGAAATATTTACAGTTTAATATATATAACATATATATATATATATATAGTGATATATATATAATATATATATATATATATATATATATATATATATATCATTTTTTGCTGCTTACAAGAAATTTGTAATGAAGCAATTACAGTACATAGTTGAGATAATGCGGAAAACTCATAAAAATAAAACCTGAAGAGGTAGCTACCACATAAGCATAAAATGTCTTTCCCTCATTATGGGCTGATATGAGAGCTAATTGGCCTGTCCCCAGACCATTTAAGCGTCTGCTCAGCCGTTAATGATTTGGTATTAGTTCGGAAGTGGCTTGCTGTTAGAGTGGAATCTGTTGATGTGCACTTTGAGACCTGTTATGTTTCTCTACATTTATTACTTTTCCATCCCTCCATCCTGGGAACATTTGTAAACCGCTGGGATTGTACATGCTGGTTTCACTTTGTTCCTGTGACTCATTGGCAGACACTTTGAATGCAAAAGCAAATTTTCATTTCATTATGTCAAAAAAGAATAACGTTACTTTTGTAACGAGAACCAGCTTATGGTCATTTAATAGCTTTTTGTGGGAAATTATTAAGTTCCTTTAGAATTACTAAAGTTCAGAGATTATGATAGATTTTCTTTTGGCTCTATATGTGGAAACCCCCCAGGATATGATTAAGCAAATGTTTGAGAAGTGACTCCCTTAAAGGCACATTATCCTTGCTCTAATTTACCTCCTCTTGTTTGACAAACTATAAATGGGAGTGTTTATATCCTTTCGCAACACTCAATCCCTCTCTCTCTCTGTTTAGGGACAGAAAGGCCATCCTGGTCCCTCTGGCCACCCCGGAGATCAAGTGAGTTCCTATGCCATTGCTTTTTTTTACTTTCCACAAGAGGAGAATTAAAGGAATTTATAAAACTAGAGGATTGATAAAACTGATCTTTACATAACCAAAGTAAAAATCCCAAAGGTGCTGTCACATTCACCATTGATTTGCAAACTTTTGAAGGCCAAATCCATTCATTGTGAAGTGAATTGGGAAGACTTTCAACTGATAGAGTTTCCCTGAACAATTTTTGTTTGGGGTTGGCAGAATAGCTTGGTTTTTTATTATGTCATTGTTCCCATTATTATATCTGTGGCTTTCTTTTGCCTGTGGAATTTGACTGTGCAAATGTGACCACACCTTAGCTCTGAATATTATCTTGTCTGCTTAGTAGACATGATGATTTCAGTTGGGCTCTCATTTAGAACTTTTCAGATCCTTTGAGACCTAAGATGGAATATATGTGTACAACTCAAGAGTACTTTTTTTTTAAAACTGCACATACATTTTAGGATTAAAAAAGTAGCAGACTACAGACTCACAAAAATGATTAAAGGCATAATTTTTTTTGTTGCAATATTTTAGTGACAGTAAATTAATTGACATCCCTTGTAAAATATGCATGTGACAACAAATCTTTCATCTAACCAGAACACTTTGCTACTCAGTTGAGATGCATTCCAAATCATCCACACTTGCATATATAATAAATTACATGCTTAGCAATGGACACAACGAAAACTAAAAAGAGACTGTAGAACTGATTAAACATTTTTTTAAAGTTTTGGCAATCTAGACTTTCCTCAAATTTCTGGAATTGAATTCTGGAATTTAAAGTTGTTGAGTTATAGTAGTATAAAAACAATATCTAATGCTTTCATCTTTGTTTCATAATCTCACAATTCTGTGGTTGGCCACACATGCTCCATTTTTGTCATAGTGACAAAAATGGCAACACATGAAAAAAGACTGAAACTATTTACAGACACGCAGAAGAAAAACATGTTGTTTTAATAGAAAGGCCATTCACTCCTCTCTCTCTCCATTGTGCTTTTTATCTTTCTTTTTGTTTGTTATGGCTTTCCACAAGAAGAGCTTCCAATGCTAATGACATATTTATTGTAATGGATTTTTTCCTCCTTATATTCTGTTCATTCTCCTCTCTCCACAGGGAGAAAGAGGACCGGATGGAAGCCCGGGTGCCAAAGGTTATCCTGGCAGGCAGGTGCAGTAAATCTTCTGTTGTGCTGCTGGCTTGCACAGTACTCACCGACACGAGTATAGTGAGACTAGTAGTAAAGTGTCAGAGCTTGTATTGGAGACTAAAACAGCTTGCTCTGCCAATATGACCACTTATTTTGACATCATTTTTGAAAAATGAGAATTGTTTTTGGAATTAACAGGCAATGAAAATGAATTTTATTTTTTGAGCTTAGTGTGCTAGCACTAAATTAATCATTTTTTGGGTGCTAAAGGCATGAATGATACCTGATCTTTGGAAAAGTCATTTGCAAATGATGATTCTCCCACTTTTGATAGATGTTCTCCCTCTGCTGAGTCTGCATGTGATCAGCCCCAGCTTTTCCGGATTACCAGATTCACATATTCAGGGAAACAAATACAACTTACTAATTAAACATTCTGGTAGTTTCCAGTCTTGCATAACTTCACAATGAGGCATGTTTTAGAAAATCCTATTGGAATTTAGATTTGCGTAGATTTTTTTGCGGACTTTACAGAGAATCAGCTGATTTAACTTTTTAAAGGGATAGTTCACCCAAAAATGATGGCATTTAATCGCCCTCAGGCTGTTCCAAACCTGCATGAGTTTCTGTCTTCTGTTGAACACAAAAGAAGATATTTTGAATAATGTTGGTAACCAAAAAGTTGACGGTGGCCATTGACTTCCATAGTATGGAAAAAATACTATGAAAGTCAATATGTACCGTCAAATGATTAAATGCCAGAATTTTCATTTTTGGCTGAGCTGTCCTTGGCCACGTTTGGTTAAATCGGCACATGCTACAAAAGCGCACATCCCAGTTCAGTTTATGTTTAAAGTTTGGCAAGCCTAAAGTAGGAATTGTGAGAGGTATTGCCAGAATTGTTTCACAGTTCTCAAGTATGTCCTACAAACACTTGATAAGTCTTTAGGAGGACATATTGATTGGCACTAAATCAACTTATTTGCTACTTTCCACCTGTTCAGCACCAACTCCAATTCCAGTTCCTTATGATTATCAAGCTGTCATTTTTTGATAGTGTATTATACACAGAGAACTATGGAGTTTTAGCTTTCATGAGCATATTTGCAAAATTGCAACATCATAACTCATCATAATTGCTTTGTTTGTGTTTTGTAGGGTTTGCCTGGGCCTGTAGGAAATATGGGACCAAAAGGTGTACAGGTAAGGGATAAAAATAACACAGAGACTCTCTATATTGCCTGTTTTGATATACCTGTATTGTCTTGATATATATTTTTTTTAAATCAGAAATCATTTAGACACTGTTGGCTATAAATGAATCATCATGTATTGGCTGAGTTCAGTTAAGATGAGATGTTTTTGCATTCCATGTTTGTTCCTATAAATTTGCCTAAAAGTGGTAGAGCTATGATTTTCAGGACGTTTTGTAAGGGCTGCTACATTTTTAGTATTGAAACCTTGTTTTCAGTTTGGAAACTCTGAAAGGCACCAGAAAAGGAAATGGTTGTAGACATTTAAGGATCCGTTATTGGGAGTTGTTTTCATTATAAAACCTCAGAACATCAGCTCTGAAAGTATACCGCTGTCAGCTGGGTTTTATATTATAATTCCACTACCATTTTAAAACCAGTTTGGTCTTGTAAAGTATATGGCAGCAGTGTACATCCAAAGCCTTTTTTTATTATTTCCCTTAGTGCTAACATATTTTTATTATTAGTTCGTTAGTTTTATTTTATTTTACTGTATATAAGAATATGTTAATATATCTGTAATAAATATATTTTTAATAATGTTTTATTTCATTTAGCTAGTTAATATTTAATGGTTTTCATTTTTATGTTGCTTTGTATCATAAAATGCATAATTCCCTCATCAGTCTTTGTCTTTTGCTTTTCATGATTTTATTGTATGTTCATGTGTATTAACCTTGTGACCCAACCTTAGGCATCCTGCCGAATACCAGTGTGATCCCTGGTGTGAGGGTATGTGCCCTTGGACTACATCGTGGAAGCCAGCACCATGCAGTCCATGGGCATATACACTTGCCTCAAGGCCTAGATCTTCACCGAGCGTCCACTGTCCTCAAAAGACCTTTGCAAGTTAATCTGCACTTTATCAAGGGATATTCAGACCATATCACTCTAAAGTCTCTCTGTTTATTTCTTGTCTTCTTACACTGCCCTTTTTTAGGGCTTCATTGGAATCCTAGGCGTCTTCGGTCTCCCTGGACCTGATGGAGAAAGAGTGAGTTTTGCTGTTGTTTCTGCACTCAAGTGATTTTTTGCTAATTATGGATGTCATAAAGAAATGCACAGCAAATAGTTTGAATTTGAATGGAATAGAAATATTAAAATGATGTACCGATTTAGAAAAAGCTGAACACAGAAAACAAACCCAAAAAATATAACAACACACCAAATGTATGTACAAAACAAACTATCATTGCGCCTGCTGCACCCATAGTACGGCAGCAAATTTCCTTGATTATTACTCCAGAATGAGAGTATAGTTCCTAGCCATGTCGGCCTAGAAAATTTCATTTCCGTCGGTCTTAGTACACGATGTAACGACAGAAGAGTCAAGTTTTAAATAGGAAAAATATAGAGTAGTTACATCGTGTACTAAGACCGACGGAAAATGAAAAGTTGCAATTTTCTAGGCCGACATGGCTAGGAACTATACTCTCATTCTGGCGTAATAATCAAGACACTTTGCTGCCGTACCATGGGTGCAGAACTGTTTAACTCTAGGGGAGTTGGAAAATGAGCCTATTTTCAAAAATAGTGGAGTGTTCCTTTAAGTGTAACAACTTTTACTAGTGCATTAAAAGTCCATTGGTGTTCCCTAGTTTTTAGTAAAACAGTGTGGCATAATGGAGATGTATAGTCTTGGTTTTAGATGCCCCTAGAGGAAATATTACTTGAGCAAAGCCCACACACTTCCACTTGTGCCTTACATGTATCATTTTTCTTTATAATGGTGGCTTGTAAATCCAGAGCACTTGCTTTGAATAGGAATCCTGGTGAAAGGGGCACGCTCCACTAAAACCACAGAGATCCCCCTTCAAAACAGTAGTTTGTCTCAGTTCTCACAATATTTGCTCAGGAATCTCGAGCTGGTGAATTCCGGCCTGCAATACTTTGTGGAAATAGCAATAAAAGCCCCCGGGAGCTGGAATAGGGCCTGCTGCGGATTAGCCAGATCATGTCTCCTATTTTCAGGCCCAGAGGGAACAGAGTTCATAGAGATCTGAGAGACCCTTTTGTGTCCAGAAGAGCAGAAACTAAGACCTTTCAGCATTAACACAGTCTATTGCGACTGGGATTGGTAATTGATTAATTCATTGTGTGCTTTTTTTGTCATTTCTGTCTCTTTTTACCTGTCTTTCCATGCTCTCCTTCTATCTGCTGTCTCCTCTTAGGGTTTACCTGGTGTTCCCGGGAAGAAGGGCAAGATGGGTAGGCCGGTAAAGTTTTCTTTCACCATCCTCTCTAGAGAAACTTCTGTGAATGACTTGCCTGTGTGTTCAGTGATTTGTGACCCCTTTCATGCTGTTTGAGAGAGTTTGATTCTGTTTGTGCTGACTTTATGACCCTCGTTATCTACACTCTTAAAGCAGGGTTTCTCAACCATTGTTCCACAGCCAATTGGATGGATACATTAGAGTAGTTCACCCAAAAATGAACATTTGCTGAAAATGTACTCACCCTCAGACCATCCAAGATGTAGATGAGTTTGTTTTTTCATCAAAACAGATTTACCGTCAGAATGAGAGTCCAAACCTCTGATAAAAACATTACAATAATCCACATGACTCCAGAACATTACAGTAATTAACATCTTGTGAAGCAAAAACCTGCATGTTTGTAATAAACAAAAGCAATGTTATGGATGGAGGACTTATATTTTAACCAGAAGCAACTGGTTACAGTTAAAAACATCTTAATGCAGTTATTTATTATAAGCATGCAGTTTTTTGTTTGACAAGACGTTAATTGATGGACTGGAGTAGTGTGGATTACTTGTGGATTATTGTGGTGTTTTTATCAGCTGTTTGGACTCTCATTCTGACGGCACCCATTCATTCCAGAGGATCCACTGGTGAGCTTGTGATGCTAAATTTCTCCAAATCTGTTCCAAAGAAGAAACAAACTCATCTACATGTTCTATTTTTAAGCAAACTATCATTTTTGTGACTATTTTCTTTACTGTAAGACCATGATCACATTGCAGCCTACATTCCACGTAATATCTTAAGCACAAAATCTGCATATAGATAGATAGATAGATAGATAGATAGAACCAAACTCAGTCATAGCATAGGTCATAATGCAACTATTATTTTTCATTGTTCCTGACAGTCTGTCTTGGCAGTAGACAGAGCTGTCTTATTTTGTCTAGATAAATAGTACTAAATTACCAATAATTAATTACTAAGTTTTACCATCTGCACACCCATAATCATTTTCTGTTTAGCAAAATGACGTTGGTGCTCTAAGTCTGCGTATTTTCAAAAGAACTAGACATTAAGAATTCAGGCTCATCTTTTTCCAAAACAACTTCCAATTATGTGCAGTTCTTTCTAGACTCAAAGCACAAATGCAGTGCCAAGCACAGAATCATCTGTTCTTAATAAGCAATTCTCTAACTCTGCAGTTCTGTTTGATAGGCAGCACATGCACCTCGTCTGTAACTCACTGTTTGCCTTGTTGAAGGACAAAAAAAGATCTCCACACAGCACAAGTGTTGACTTTGGCCTTAAGACAAGCACACGTTTAGCACACAGTGAAGTGCAACGTCATAGCTCTTGTCCTCTTATATAACGTAACAGTAGATAGAGGGGAAACAGCGCTGTCAGCGAATCCCGGCGGGTCCTCCTCTCGCTGCTCCTGGTCGTTGCCAGTGTAAGGAAACACTCAGCCATGGAATTTCCTGCAGGGCTGACAGAGACGAGAACTGAGCTTGTTTCTGTGACTCGGCATCAGGCTCTGCTTTCACAAAACAAAACTTCAGTGCAGCAGCCATATTCTTACATTTTTATTAGTACATTCTTAATTGCTGTTGTAAAAAGGTAGATTTGTCTTAGCATCCTTTAAATATTTAATTTTACTAAATATTATACGAGACTTTTACTACAGTTTTTAGACTTTATCTATTTATAGACTGCAATTATTTGATCAAAAATACTGTAAATTAACAGTAATATTGTGAAATTATATTACTATGTAAGTTTTAAAATATTATTTATTCCTGTGATGGCAAAGTTGACCTTTCAGCAGCCATTACTTCAGTCTTCAGTGTCACATGATCCTTTAGAAATCATTCTGATATGCTGATTTGGTGCACAAGTAGCATTTCTTATTATTATAAATATTGAAAACAGTTGTGCTGCTTAATGTAATTTTTTGGCGCATACTCACGTTTACTATTGATTTGATGATTTTACCTTTTCAGATACCATTTTATTATGCATAGAGCAGTTCATTCACACATTACAACAATTTAAAATGTTTAATGTATTGTCAGTATTTATTGTTAATCTTTGCTATATGGAAAGCATGGCTAAAGTGCAAATGCAAAATAAAAAATAGTTCTAACTTACCATACTATCCACCTTAGAAATAGTAATACAAAAACCTCCATTTCAATCTGTTTTATTCACATACTTAAATAGTGGTAAAACAATTCTGGCCACTAATATACTCCATCCAAAACCACCTTTGTAAAATGAACAATGCTACAGTGTCTCCCAGTTTTCTAGAACGTGTTGGCTGTATAGGAGATATAGTTGGTGGTTAAAACTTATTCTATCCTATTGCTGCTTTCCTGTGGCTGTTTTTTGAGATCCAGTTTTTCAGTATCCCATGATTATGGAGTGGTTCTGGTGATACAGAGGTTTGCGCTGGGTTAGAGTGAAGGGACAATGTTTACCATGTGGGCAACTGGAAACAGCAATGCACAAATGGTATCTGCCCTGAGTCTAAGTGCGGTTTCTTCAAGTCTCGCTCTGCTAAGCTCTGCTGTCTCTCACATTTGTGTGCTTAGGGCTTTCCAGGAGATTTTGGGGAGCGAGGACCACCAGGACCTGATGGAAATCCAGTAAGTAGTGCTACATCAACCACCTGGCCAACTGCCATTTGGGGGAACTCCAGTTTTCTAATGCTCAGAGAGATTTAAGCATAGTTGTTTGGGGTTATATTTATTATCAGGTTTAGTGTATCAGAATATTGCCGCACAGCAAGAGAAATGTTCAGCAAAAAGTCATCCCAAAGTCTCCTAGCCTCTGCATGCCCTTTTCCTGCCTGTCATACACTGTTATACACATACGGTTATACAAGCTGACCGGGCCACGCAAACCGCTACACTCTAATAAATACCTTTGATTTCTGCTACCACAATAACACACACAAGCCAGTTGGGTGTCCAGTGTGTGCAGCTCAGCATTGAGTAATATTGGTAATGAGGAAATCAGCTGTCACTACCAGAGTCTACAGCAGATATCTGTTTTAGCCATTACAGGGGTTGCTTCACTTCTGATCGTTTTACCATATTCGTTACCCAATTTTTCATCTTATTCATGTTTCCATGTACCATAATATTCAAATAAGTCATTTTTATGTCACTGATTTGCATATTAGGAATTGACATCTTATAGACATAAGTATAATATCTTAGCAATCTATAAAATGTGTATTGTCAAAAATTATTAGCAGAAAATTCTAATGCAAAACCACATTTCATCAGCTTGTTAGTGGTCTTTGCTAAGCCTTTAATTACAGTCACTATTGCTCATACTTACAGTTAGGAATTTCAAAAAAAAAGTATAGACTACAGATAGTCCTGCACAATTACTGGTTTGAACATTCAGTCTTTTGGCTTATTGAAGAGATGTGAGCCATTGTGCCATTGTATTCAGTTCATCCCACTGAATATTTATTAGATTACTTCCTTTTGTGTTCTGCAGAAGAAAGTCAGTCATGAGAATGAGTAAATGAACTGTCCCTCTAAAACTCTCCAATCATTTCGTCTGCTAAAATCCTGCTCTTTCTTACAATTGACTGCAAGCTCACATTCACATCTGCCCCCATCCAATCAACAACTGATGGATAGAATCAAGTCCCCACCCTACATTTTGTTTTTTTGATAATCCATTGTACTTAGATGTATGTCACAATATGGTAGAAAAGGTCTATCACTACTTTAGTTACATTGCAACATTAAGATATTCTGGTGAGCTCATTTTACTGTAGGTTCAGTAACAAGCCACTTATGCCGAGTTCACACTGCATTATTTTAAAAGTCGTCGGATCACCGATGTTTTAACACTAAATGACTATCTGGGGTAGCATTCAGTTGCTGCTATGTTCACATTGCACGATGGATTGGCAACAGGAGGTTACACACTTCATGACTTTACAATAGGAAGAATCGCCAACAACTCTGTCTGGTCCACAAACTACGTTTCACAGCCAAACGCACGCGAGAAGTGATAAGGAAATAACGCAAGTTCACGCTGATATTGTGGTCTGTAACTCCTCCCCGAACTTCCCACTGCCCAGTATCTTGCTCTCTCATTGGCTGTAGGTCATCACCGATGTATTTTTCAGTCAGAACTCATTTCACACAGCAGGATTTTGAATCGCTGACAGGTCCAGATATTTAGCATGGCAAATATTTCACAGGCGTCGGCAATGCGTCGGCGATTCTTTGATAATTCACACTGCGTGATTGTCACTCGCATGAACGAGCACCGATTTGCCTCCAATTTCAAGCATTTGTTGGTGACTTCACAAAACCTGTCAGCGAGTGAAAATCGTGGCTAAAATTGCGCAGTGTGAACTCGGCATTAGCAACATCCTAGCAGCCGTTAAAAGGATAGTTCACCCAAAAATGAAAATTCTGTCATTAATTACTTGCCCTCATGTCAGAACACAAATTAAGATATTTTTGATGAAATCCAAGAGCTTTCTGATCCTGCATAGACAGGAACGCAACTACCACGTTCAAGTCCCAAAAAGGTAGTGAGGACATCGTTAAAATAGTCCATGTGACATCATCTCCGTGTCTTTCATGTAAATTCACAAGAGTTCGATGATGTATGCGTGTGTTGCTGCTGACGCAGGAGCCGGCGTTCTAATGTAGAACCTGCATGTGCTGTGCCTTGTTTACAAAGAGAGGAATGCAGAAAGCTCTCGGAAGGTGCACCATTCACATAAAATTAAGTTTTGTTTAAAAATGTGGACTATACAAAAGTAAGTCATTAAGAATCTTGCCTTCCTGGGTCTTTTGCAAACAGCCCATTTCAAATATACGCTTGTGTGAACAATTTTTTTTTCCAAAGCTGAGCCGGCAGTAGCTTAGTGTAGTGCTAGCCTGATCACCTGACTGCCTGCAGTACTGTAACCCTAACCATATCGCAAACGTAGAGGACACGCACGCCTTCACCTCAATCCTTTTTATTCATCAGTGGTCACTCAGCAAGAGCAACCGACCCTGTAACATCTATCTGCTCACTTTCAAAGAACAAGGAAAGCAAAAATACACAGGGGATTTTTTTGGCCTGCTGCTGAGAGGAAGTAGGTATGGCAGTTAGCAGCGAGCCAGTCATGCCACACAACAAGCTCCTCTCTGTACTCCACAGCATGTCTCTTTCATTGGCTCACTGAGGGGTAGATGCAGGCAACCGGCCCCCCCAGACTTTCTCCAGCGTCCTCAGAGCGAATGTTGTGCCAGTAACGCTCAGTATTTGCTCTCTGTTTCTCACAGGGGGAGATGGGTGCTCCAGGTCCTGTTGGCATCCCTGGTTTTATTGTGAGTAAACAAACATTCAATTATTAACTTTGAACCTTCTGGCTGTAGTTTTTGCCTTCCCGACATTGATGCTTTCTGATTTTTTTTTCTGTTGGCCTGTGAATATAATGTGTGCATTGTACATTTTTATGCTTGTTTATGCTTTTTATATTTCATGGCAGGGTGATATGGGTCTTGTTGGAATTGTGGGTCTTGCTGGATTAATAGGACCAAAGGTGATTACATTGAAATTGTTATGAACATCCATGCTGAAAAGACTATTTCAAACTAGCCTAAAGGGATTTGCTGGTCTTAGTTGATTTAGGATGGTTTGGCTGGTATCCCAGCCTAAAAAGTAGCCAAAACCCCTCTAAAACAAGAAAAACACACCAAACTAACCAGCTTGGTCAAGCTGGGAGAAATGAAAGGAAATTAACTTACAAATTGCTTTCTTATAGTTGTCTTTGCACACTACACTAGAATAACAAAAAGGAATTTTAACATGATTTTAACAGTTGAAATCACACACAGTAGTACATAATACTTTAATTTTCAACACATTTAGTGACATATATTAATTTTGATTATTTTCATAGCAACAAATGTTGTAGGCAACACTATTTAATAAATGTACAGACAAGTTCAGTTTGCATTTAAGGAGCAACTGATGGTTAAAATTTATGGTCTTCCATTCATAAAACAATTCTACCAATTCTTCTTTTTAACAATTGTCTGTTTGTTGTCTTACAGGGTATACCAGGAAACCCTGGCGAGTCTGGACTGAAAGGTGATAAGGTGATCTGAATAACCTTTATTAGCTTTTGCTTCTTCTGTATTTGATTGCACAGAGCCACTATTAGGAGAGACTGAGATCAGCTGTAACATGCTAAAATGTTGTCAGTCACAGATACAAAAAGTTAAATGTCAGTAAGAATTTTGTTTAAAGCAGTTCATACTTTTATTCATCAAGAATGCATTAAATTGATCAAAAGTGACAGTAAAGACATGTATGTTACAAAAGATTTCTATGTCAAATAAACTCTGTTGAACTTTCATCAAGGAAGATAAAAATTAAGCAGCACAACTGTTTTTAGCATTAATAGTAATAATAAGACATGTTTCGTGAGCAGCAAATCAGCATATCAGAATGATTTCGGAAGGATCATTTGATACTGAAGACTGGAGTAATGGCTGCTGACAATTCTGCTTTGCCATTACAGAAATAAATTACATTTTAAAATATATAAATGGAAACAATTTTAAATTGTAATATTTCACAATAGTACTGGTTTTACTGTATTTTTGATCGAATAAATAAAGCTTGGTGAGCATAAGAGACCATTCAAAACCATTAATGCGATATAATGACACGTACTCCATACATAACTCAGTAGAGTTCTCTCTCTGTCTGTGATTGTAAATAAATAAATAAACTAACAGATAAATAGATTTTTAGATATTTGAGACTTTTCAATAAAAATTGCTTTAAAATTCACACAGTAATGAATGTTATTCTATCAAGTATTGATCAATATATTTGAGCAAAATAGTAAAGCAATGATATTGTTACTGAGGTGTGCTTTTATGTGAGATTTAATATTAGAGAAGGCTGGTCAAGGCATCAGCAGTGTAACCTCTGTCCTGCTGCTCCCCATTTCTGTGTTGGTCTCTCTGTCTGCCAGCTGGACAGGTGCTGGCAGCCCTGTACTTAAATGTTGTATTTTGCTGCTAGGCAAGATATTTATAAGGCTTTGTTTTGGACAGCTTCTCTGATCTCCATGTCTACAGTTACAGACACATTGTAACATAGATACAGATACAGTACAGACATAGAGACAGTATCTGGAGTAACTGCTGTGATTGAACTGCTGGGACATCCTGACTTAAAGGCCAGAGAGTGATGTTTTGTCACTGTTTTGTCTCTGTCGACAGGATGAAGTCGGGTTGCCAGGTGAACCGGGAGAACCTGGATTTCAAGGTGACAAGGTATTTCAGATAACGGCTTTTCTTTTGATGTATTCACACAGTGAGTAATATAAAAAACTGTGTTCAATAAAACAAATAGTGTAGAAATAAAATTCACTCAGAAATTGTTAGTAAATTTCACAGTGCATTACAAAGAAACCTCAACATTGAATTAACTTTAAAATTACAACTTCAAAAAATGTGTGTGTGCATGCATTTATATTTGTGAGTATTTATGTGCTTTTAAAGACCCAAACAGAGGTTTTTATTTAAGTAACTATGTACTTATTATTAACTGAATTTTCCAGGGTAATCAGGGCTCACCAGGTTTACCAGGAATTCGAGGAAAGCCAGGACCACAGGTTAATTCATACAACTTTTTTATTATTATTGTTATTTCATTGTATTTTACCAGGTTGATTAATTTTAAATCTTTAGTTCTGATTTGACAAAGAGTCAAATGATAGCTGTTTGTCTTTCAGGGTAAGCCTGGAGATCGAGGCCCAGATGGTTTGCCAGGCCCACCTGGCCCTGAGGTAATTGTGCTTTCATTTCAGGCCAAGTGTACTCTACAAAGACAGAAGGTCATTGCCTTGTGTACGTTTAAAGACTAACGATTTCTTGTTTTACACTACACATCTAATCACAAATCAGCTGTGTCTGTTATAAGATTCAATTCTTCCCACTGAAGTTCAGTTCGCATACAAACCCATGCACAAACTCACAGAAAGTAAACTATAGTAAAAGAGCATAAAAACATGACACAGTGTCTTTCAGCTGCACATAAGTGCACTTTTTATGTCTTAAATTGGCAACAAAATGTAGCCAACTCGCAGACTTACAACATAAAAGTGCACTTGGCTTTAGTAGTTCCTTCATTTTGTGTTAATTTAAAATAACCGCAGAGAGATAGACATTCATTTGCAGTTGTTTAGAAAGCTCACACAGTCCTCCAAATAGATTTCAGAGTGAGAAGTTGTAGTTGAGTAGCTGAGGGAGTCTTCTTAGATAAAGTATAATGAATGTAGTGCCAAGACTAGTGTTGTTGCCTTTTCTCAGGGCTTTCCAGGGGATATTGGACCACCAGGACAGAATAGCGCTGAGGGCCCAAAGGTGTGAATCTCTCCTCTTTAAGCTTTTGGTCCCCTTCCCAAAATTTGTAATTGGGTCCCAAATTGTAAAATAGGGGCAAATATGGTAATTTTTTAATACATCGCAGGGGAATGCAGGAACGAGAGGGATTCCAGGCCCTAGAGGAGTTCCTGGACTTGAGGTAGGATCCGGACAGGTTCTGACCCTTCTTTGGTTTAGGAATAAATTAATAGCTGTAAATCTGAATGTACAACTGTATACAGTATCTGCATCTATAGTTATAAACAGTGTGTAATATTAACATGTTTATGTGATAATCGTCCTCTGTGTATAACTGTATGTGTCATTTAAAAAACAAAAAAAGTTACTTCATGCTGCAACTACATTTGCAAGTCTATTGGCATATACAAGGAAGCAATTTGTAGTCACAAAACAACGTCTAATAGGTCCAGTTGTAAGTATAATGAATAAATATATGCCTTTGGGTAAAGCCAAATATATCCATGTTTGGCGTACATTCTTAAACAGCAAGGTTTTTATGCAAGGCCAGTAAAATTCCTTTGTGAACCCATCAAGGCCTGGAGTTTTAGCATTATACGGCCATGCGATTCCATGGAATAGACATACTTTTTCTATATGTTACAGTCATAGACCGTATAAAAACATGGACGTAGTGTCCGTGACGTCACCCGTAGGTTCCTGAAGAGGTTTTTGAAGCTCAAAGTGGGCAGAGCCGGACGTCGCCATCTGGGCAGCGCGTCACCGCGCATCACTCCCGGATAATCGAAAATGGGCAAAAAGGCGGGAGCTGGTTGCTGAAACCACGCCCACCTAGCTCGACGGTGGTGACAGCAGCGGCAATCCACCTGTCACTCAAGTGGCCACGCCCTTAATTATGCAGAACTTTAAGGCTTAATATAATTTAAACGGATGACTTATAAAAAAAAGTTGCCCCCTCACAGTTGTCATGAAGGGCAAAATTAGCTATATAGACAAAAATCATTTTTTGAACCAGGCTGTAAACATGTTTTTTCTGCTGTAAAGTTGG